TATTATAATAATTATTTATTTTTCATTAAGGGAAGAGGAAAAAACCCCAGAATATTTGGATAACTAACATCAGCATACTTTCCTTACCTGTCAGTGCTGCAAATAAGCATTCATTTGAGAAAGGCGAACGCCTTTTCATTTTATCTTGCTATTTTAAAAGTAGGTATGTGGAGCTGAGCTGTTTGACCATTTAAAGGTTTACTTCAACATTCTGTGTTTTTGTTGTTTTGTTTAATTTTTTTTAAAGGATCCAGTTGCTGGTGAATATATTATAGAAAACCAGGACAGAATCTACCCAGGTTTACAGCCACACAGCTCTGAGTCTGAACCGTCTTTGTCGCGACAGCGAAGACAGAAGAAGAGAGAGCCGACTGAGGACAGTAGGGCAAACAGACAGGTTGGTGAAGATCTCTTTGGAACAAGTCATTGTACTACATTGAGAAATAAATTTTGGAAATCTTCATTTATATTTAGAATGATTAACAATTGCCAAAACTGTACATAAGAAATGCAAGGAACAAATTGAGAGAAAGGTGATGGTGGCAAGACACTAAAATTAGTTTTCAGATATTAGTGTGTTGAAAGCAGAGTAAGGATTTTGTCTTCCTCAGCAAAGATGGGTAGATACTTTGAGAGCTAAAGGAACAGGCTAATAAGGGTAAATCTGATCCCTTGTGTATTATATTGGATAATAATTTTTCCTTTACCCTCTGCACAAAATCATAGTGACACCTTATTTCTTGAAGTAACTTTTACAGGCACCCTCGTTATAAGCTTCGTAGGTAGTCATTTCTGCAGTGTTTGAAAGTACTGAGAGCAGAATGCTAACTTGTAGAGGACCTACTGATGAGGGAACTTTGGAGGTGGCTTTATGTGAAACTGCTAATAAAACCATTTTCTTTTTTAATTTCTTAAGTTCCAAGAGGTTTCTCCTCGACGTCTGTCTTCTCATCCCACTGCTGAAAAAGTGGATGTCATATTAACAAAAAAGGATGCTGAAAACCAGAGTAGAGCAGTCAGTGCGTTTATGAGCACTTCAAGCAGTAGCGAGGTCTCATCATCAAAGGTTTGTGGAAATGTGTGTTGGGACTTTTAAACCTTCTTGTGAAAGCCTTTTCATTGCAAAATCCTGTGCTTATTGTGAAATTTTACATTAAAACCTCTTAACCCTGCTTTTTGCCAAAAACTTGAGGGACAAATTCATGATTCTCAGGAAAGACTTTTCTTGCAAAGGGCAGATTTTGTTGTTTCAGGGCTGTTACTTCCAGTAGAATTGCCATTCATTCAGGAGAGCAGATAGACCTTGAATACAGGTAATGCAAAATTCTCCATTTCCCTTCCTAGAAACACTACTTAGCAGAAATGAGGACTGTGATCTTTCTAGTTAGTGGCTGTCACTTCACTGTGGACTGGTTTTAAATGGACATTTCATAAAGGCCTGTGCAAGCCTTTCCTGTAGAGCAAGCTGATGCTTCACATGTTAAGGATATTTTAAGAAAGTAAGTGACTCTGTGACTTTCTTTTAAAGGATCGCCCATTATCAGCAAGAGAGAGGAGACGACTAAAGCAGTCCCAGGAAGAGATATTCCCCTCAGGTAAAGTTGTCTTTCCCTTCACCTCCTGGGGATTGATACTGTGACTCATTAAACCTGTTACCGTTGAGTCAATTCCAACTCATAGCGACCACATAGGACAGAGTAGAACTGGCCTCATAAGGTTTCCAAGGCTGTAATCTTTATCGGAGAAAACTGATATATCTTTCTCCTGTGGATTAGTTGGTGGATTTGAGCCAATGACCTTTGGGTTATTAGCCAACCACTAAACCACTATGCCACTGGGACTCCTAATTAGGGAGGTGTTAAGAATTTCTAGGCACCACTAATCCATTTGGGAAACCTATCAGGAAGAGTTTTTGAAATTTCCTTGTGAAACCTTTAAAAAATCAGTCTAGGCTGTTGGATCAGGAACATGTATCACCAAAGGAAAAGGATAGTAAAGAGAGCTGGAGGGATATGATTGATTTCTAGGAGATTTCAGACAAAACGAAGTAAGAGTTTAACTTGTTTCCATGTCCACAGTGTGCTGGTTAGGGAAGTACTCTCTTTCTCAGGAGCACAGTAAAGGGGGGGGAGGGGGGTGGTACTGCCCTGGGGAAAGGGCTGTGGTTATGCCTTTTACTATTCGAAACTGCCAGCTGCTCCCTGGGAGAAAGATGAGGCTTTCTACTCCCATAAAGATTTACACCCTCGGAAACCCCTGTACAGGGTCGCTATGGGTCGGAACTGACTCGACGGCACTTAACAACAACATTATCAAAAGATAGTGCTATCTCTTTCTATTTCAGGAATGCTGACTTTGTCTCAGGTGTTAAGGCAAAAATTTGTTTGGGGTAGGTGGATGAATGGCTAGGAGTAAGGAGTAAGGGTTAGTGTTGGGGCTATAATTAGGTCTAGGTTAGTGCTAGGACTTCATTTAGTATTAGGGTTATGTTTAGGACTAGGCTTAGCATTAAGAGTCGGGGTTAGGCTAGGGCTAAAAGTAAGGCATGGTTTAGTCTTTAGGGTTACTGTTAGGTTTATTTTTTACTTGAAATTTATTTGATTTCCTCTTCCTTTGGAAGTTCTGTGACTACATTATTCCCTCTTTTTGCTTTATGGTGTTTTTGGTTTTTTTGTTGCTGTAACTATCTCTGATTTTCTGTTTTCTTCTATATTTTGGTTCAGTATAGATGATATTGTCATGTATGTTGGTCTTACTCAGGTTGTTATCTGCTCTTATTGATTCTGTCCAAAGAATTCTGTTTAGTATTTTTCATAAGCTTGGTTTGGTTTTTACAAATTCTTTTAGTTTCTGTTTGTCTGAAAATGACCAAATTTAATTGTTCTTCATTATTACATAGAAGAAATTTCTTCTAAGAAATCAGCAAGTTTAGTCTTATTAGTTCTCCTTTGTAGGTACCTTTTAGTTTTTCCGGAGCTGCTCTCAGGATTCTTTTCTTGCTTTTGATTTTGTTAGGGAAGTTTTCTTTCAACAACTCTTACACAATATTCTCTATGGCCTTTTTTTTTTATTGGTCTCTTCCTATTCTGGAATTTTGGAATTTCTGTCATACAAAAATTATTTCTCTTGATTGTTGTTGTTGTTAAGTGCCGTCGAGTCGGTTCCGACCCTGTACAGGGTTTCCGAGGGTGTAAATCTTTACGGGAGTAGAAAGCCTCATCTTTCTCCCTCAGAGCAGCTGGTAGTTTCAAACCGCTGACCTTAAGGTTCGCAGCCCGATTCGTAACCACTACGCTACCAGAGCCCCACGTAAATCTATAGTGTCCCACGTAAATCTTTAGCTTTCTCCAGGTTTTTTTGTTCTTTTTTCTGATTGTTTCTCCAGCAGATAAATAGTGAGAGATTTTTCTTCAAAGTCAGCAATTCAACTTTTCATTGATTCATTTCTTTTTCTTTGCCCTTTCAGTATATTGTCTATTTTGAAGCCTTCGTATTAATATTCTGGCTTTCTAATTGCTGTTTTTGTATCAGTCTCATTTTTTCAATTATCCTGTAATTTTTTTTCCTTAGTTTTATACATGTTTTCCTTGGTTTTATCTGTAGTTTTCTTGATCACTCTCACAATTCATTGAAATTGCCTAATTAGAATTCTTTTAAATTCCATATCAGGTATTTCCTAGACCATTTCTGGCGTTATATTTTCTGACTCTGCAGTTTGGTCACTTTTTTGAGGCAAGTGTCTGATGATTGTATATTAATGTATTCTCAGGCACTTACCACCTGTCTCCTGGTGGATATGGTAGAGACTAGAAGTGTGAACATAGTTCTCTGTTCACTGTTTGCGTAGCATGGTTCAGGCAGGTTCACATGCCTCCAGAAGCAGAGTTTTATACCACCACCTGACCCCAGGCAGAGCAAAGGCTGCACGGGAGAGGATGCCACTGACCACTGGGTCACTTCCCCATCTACCAGAAGGGCACAGGAACAAGAGAGGACTGCACCCCTCCTGTCACCAGCATCTGGCTGCATCCTGTGCCACTGCTTGCCAAAGCTCAAGATGGCCGTGCTGCACCACATTATCCCACAGCCTGCCTGCTTTTCTTCTCTTTCACTTCTCCTATTCAGCTTCCTCTTCCATTCAGCACTCAGTCCCACTCTGTCCTATCCTCTGATGCTCAGTGTTCCAGGATCACCAACTGTATCTCTTTCACTCCGTCTCCTGTGTCTTTGTTGCAGAGAGGTGACTCAGTGCATCTGCTTACCCCGCCATCATGCCCCACTCCTATTTTCTATTGCAAACATCTTAAGGTCATTATCTCATTTCATATTTACGCAATTGTCATATGGTAGGCCCTATTATCCCATTTTGCAGCTGAGGAAACTGTGGTTTAGTAGGGTTAAGTAACTTGCCCAAAGTCACACAACTGGTAAAACCAGAGCTGGCATTTGAACTGAGGTGCCAGGCATGAGAGTGATGGTGAGTATGCTGTGTTACTTCTGAGCTGGATCTTGCTGGTGTCTTCAGTACCTAGTGCACAGCCGCCTTCCAGCCCACCACAACTAACCACTGGTGGTGGTCGCTGTTTCAGGCCCTTCAGTGAGGAGAGCTTCTCTGAGTGCAGTGAGGCCAGGGAAACCTCAGGAGGAAGGCCCGCCCCTCCCTGCCAGACGAGTGTCTTCTGACTACACCGTTGCTCAGGTATATAACATACTTCTAAGGGGGAAGGCAGACACGTCTGCATCTGGGCAAGCTTAAGAACAGTAAACTTTATAAATGTCCGTTTATTCTGGGACAGAACCGGCTTAAGTTTCACATTTCACTCTCGGTGAGGTAAAGAACTGGAAAACAATCATTTAAGGAGATGAATTTTTAAGAAGATGAATTTTTCAGATACTCATATAAACAGTTGGTGTTAAGTACTGTCAAGTCGGTTCCACTCATAGCAACCCTGTGTAGGGTTTCCAAGGAGCAGCTGGTGGCTTTGAACCACTAACCTTGTAGTTTGCACCCCACTGCTTATCCTACAGCACCACACCTAGCTAAAAAAAATTCTTGGGTAGTCTTTAAAACAAGGCTTCTTAAGGGCCTCCACTGGGCAACACTTTCATTATTCTGCCATTTTGCCAATAAACCCATCTGCACTTGCTGCTCATTCTTCAGTTTCATGGGTGGCTAAGTAACTCCCCTTCTCTCCTGTGGAGGATGTTGAGTCGCCATCTAGTGGTTAAATGGGTAATTGCAAAATTTCCAGCCCTTGTTCATATTTCTGTGTAATATCCTGAGGATAATTACCTATTTTTCTATATTCTGGCCCCTGACATTATTTATAGAAGCATAGTGTTACTTTTAAAATAGGAACATCTTTTTTTAAAAGTAACAAATACTCGTTTTAGTTTAAAATGTTCTATTATTTAGTTGTCACACAACTATTAAAACCAGAGCTGGGATTTGAACTCTTTCCATCTTCCAAACCTGTAAGATGTGTAATCATGTCAGATAATCCTTTTAAGCAGTTTAACAAACGGTCTCAAATGTGACCAAGCTGCTATTACCTTGATTTATGTGCCATTCAATGTAGTTTAAAATGACAGTATTCTTAAGTCGTGCCTCTGACTGGGAGGTACTTTTTCGCTCTCTTCTGGAGAGGAAATTTATTCAGAGCTGAGACTCTTCAAGGCATTATAAAACTTTCTTGATATTCCTCGGGCCTTCACTTGTGAATGTTATTGGTGAGTTGAATATTATTTGGACAAAGTAACTTCCATCTTTGTATCCATTAGTTTCTCTTGTTAAATTGCACACCTAGATGCACATTATGTGTAGACATTGCATGTTACACGGTTTCACATACTATATTCTGTGGAATTTTGTTTCTGTAAACAATAGGAAAAGAAACTGAGGCATTGTCTGTCTGAGGAGGAGTGTAGTTCTTCTACAAGTTCAACTGATAAGTCAGATGGGGATTCCAGGGAACGGTAAGTTCTTATTTTCCTGTCTCCCTTATGTTTGAATTAATCCCAAATATTTTCTTAAAGTAGTATTCTCATTGGTAATGTTCTCATAAATTAGTGTTCTCATCATAAATTGTTAATGATATATACTAGAGCCAAAAAGATCTCTTCTAAGAAACACTTGATTTTCAATGAGAATTCTTACAGACTGTCTTCTGAGAACTATGGGTTTATCATTTTAATCAGATTTGGTCATAGTTTGACCATTATGTCTTCAAAATTATGTATTTTTTACTCTTTCCCACTCCTTTGGGTATCCCAGTTACATATCTATTAGGCTGTTTAAAGTTGTCCCTTAGTTCTCTGGTGTGTTCTTTTGTGAGACTTCTGTTTCATTTTTCAT